GTCCTTTTTCAGATATGTGGGGAGCCAGAGGAAAAGCAGGGGCAACATTGGACCCCTGCTAAACCAGATGGGGCAACTGACAACTGACGCCTAGGAAAAAGCCAACCTATTAAATGGGTACTTTGCATCGGTCTTTCATCAGTCCCATGGGACACTCATGGCCACTACGGGACAGGGAGGTCCAGGTGAGGGAGATCCCCTGCCCTCCAGCAATGCTGACCTCGTGAAGGAACACCTTGAGAGACTGGATACCTTCAAGTCAGCCGGCCCTGACAGTCTACACCCCAGGGTACTCAAGGAGCTGGCAAGCATCATAGCCCAGCCTCTGGCACAGATCTTTGAGAGCTCCTGGTGCAGTGCCCAAAGACTGGAAGAAGGCCAATGTGGTGCCTATCTTCAAGAAAGGGAGGAAAGCGGATCCAGCAAACTATAGGCCCATCAGCCTGACTTCTATTCCGGAGAAGGTCTTAGAAAAGTTTATTAAAGAGGCCATCCTTAATGGACTGGCCGACGCCAACAACCTGAGGGATAGCCAGCACAGGTTTGTTGCGGGTAGGTCTTGCTTGACCAATCTCATTTCCTTTTACGACCAGGTGACCTATCACCTGGACAAGGGGGAAGAGATTGATGTCATATATCTTGACTTCAAAAAAGCCTTCGATCTGGTATCCCACGATCATCTCTTGGCGAAACTAGCCAACTGTGACCTTGGGTCCACCACGAACTGCTGGCTGGGGAACTGGTTCTGTGGTCAGACCCAGAGGGTGGTAATTGATGACAGTCAATCATCATGGTGCCTTGTGACCAGTGGGGTCCCCCATGGCTCTGTCCTTGGACCCATGTTGTTCAGCATCTGCATTAATGACGTGGACATTGGAGTCAGAAGCGGACTGGCCAAGTTCGCCGATGACACCAAACTCTGGGGCAAAGCATCCACACCTGAAGACAGGAGGATGATCCAGGCTGACCTGGACAGGCTCAGCAAATGGGCAGATGAGAACCTGATGGTGTTTAACACCGAAAAATGCAAGATTCTCCACCTTGGGAGGAAAAACCTGCAACACCCTTATAGGTTCGGCAGTGCTACGCAGGCTAGCACTACAAAAGAAAGAGACCTGGGGGTCATCATTGACCACAAGATGAACATGAGCCTTCAATGCGATGCTGCAGCTAGTAAAGCGAGTAAAATGCTGGCTTGCATCCATAGATGCTTCTCAAGCAAATCCCGGGACGTCATTCTCCCCTTGTACTCGGCCTTGGTGAGGCCGCAGCTGGAGTACTGCATCCAGTTTTGGGCCCCACAATTCAAAAAGGATGTGGAGAATCTTGAGAGAGTCCAGAGAAGAGCCATGTGCATGATCAGAGGTCAGGAAAACAGACCTTACGATGACAGGCTGAGAGCTATGGGGCTCTTTAGCCTGGAAAAGCGCAGGCTCAGGGGTGATCTAATGGCCACCTATAAGATTATCAGGGGTGACCACCAGTATCTGGGGGAACGTTTGTTCACCAGAGCGCCCCATGGGATGACAAGGTCAAATGGTTATAAGCTACTGCAAGACCATTTCAGGCTGGACATAAGGAAGAATTTCTTTACTGTCCGAGCCCCCAAGGTCTGGAATAGCCTGCCATCGGAGGTGGTTCAAGCATCTACACTGAACATCTTCAAGAGAAATTTGGATGCTTATCTTGCTGGGATCCTATGACCTCAGCTGACTTCCTGCCCCTCGGGCAGGGGGCTGGACTCGATGATCTTCCAAGGTCCCTTCCAGCCCTAATGTCTATGTCTATCCGACTGGTAAGTCTGTTGTGGCAGAATGGGCGTAGGGGAAGGAAGGGACATGGAGAGGGCAGATCGAGGTCCCCATGGTGAGGGAACGGGGCCCGCACTGGGGCAGGGTGCAGCACAGAGCTACAGCTCGTCTGGGGGACACAGTGGAAGGAGGGGGTGGTTCCTGCAGCTGCACACACCCCAGGACGGCATGGGGGGGTATGTGCCCCCCAGACCTGCGCGCAGGGCAAGGGCAGGCTGCCACTGTGGGCTACGGCCGGGGGCAGTGCCAGGCTCTTCTCAGTGGGAGGGGGGCTGGGCCAGGCTACACTCAGGGCAGGTGGCAGTGGCACTGGGAGTGGGTAGCACCACCCACACCACAAATTTTGGAGTGGCTGTAGCTCCCCCCATAGTCCCCCTCCCAGTGCTGCCCACCCCAAGCGCAGCCTCAACCCAAACCCCACACTAGGAAGAGCCCTGTGCCACCCCCGACCCATGCCCAGATTGAGGGGGCACATGCCCCATCATACCCTCCCAGGGTGTGTGCAGCAACAGGAGCCGCACCCCCCCGGATAAGCCACAGCTCCATCCCACATCCCCCCCAACCCTTGCAGAGCCTGCCCCAGCCCCACTCCCTCCCTCACCATGGGGGCTTCAGTCTGCCCCCGCACATGCCCCTTCCTTGCCCCACAACAGACTTACCAGCTGAATGCAACTCTCCATGCTGCCAAGCTGCACTTCTGGCCGCCTGCATGCTGTACTATGGCTGTGCACATGCACGTGGCATTTATTGGCAACATTATCAGCCACATCAGCCAAAATAGCTGATTGCCAATAATGTCAATTTTCCTTTTATTGGTGCCGATCCAACATGGACCAATGTATCAGTGCACCTCTAGTAATAGAGTTAGTATCCCTCCTGTCCTGCAAGCACCTTCACCACTGACACTTGCTCAACCAGCCCAGCTTTAGCATAAAACTACTGGCCACAAGCTTGTACATCTCTCCCCTGTGAGTCTTCCTTGATAAATACACCCTGAGTTCATAGTCTCAAATTAAGAATTGAAAAAAACCCAGCTGTTTCTATCAAGACCATCTCTCTGCATTCTCTGCCCAAGACCAATTTATCCTCCATGGTAGCGCTGTGCAAAACAACATCGTTTCGTTTTAACACCCATTTCACTGTTTCAAAGGCACAGTGTTTCATTTTGTCATTTCGTTGAAACTGTTTCGCTGTTTCAATGCGTTTCAACGTTTCACCCATAAGCTATCATAGGGAATAATGAAAATGCCTAAAACTTTGTCATTTCTTGCCTGATTTGGATGAAAATTGCAGGGATGGTAGCCCCTTCTGAGGGCATGAAGCATGCCAAGTTTCAAGGAGATAAGTACAAAGGTTTCTCAGAAACCACACCTCAAACTTCAAAAAGCAAAACACATGACACTTGCTGGCAGTGGCAGCCTCCTGTCATCCGGCGCACATCCAGGGGCCCACACCCCCAGGATGGCTGCAGGGCTGTGCTGGACTCCTCCTGGAGGTGCAGGCCCCCAGATGGGTGCAGGATGACAGGAGGCTGTCGCTGCCGCTTGGGACCAACCCGCACCAGGGAAGACTGATGCTGCCACTGGCCCCAGGCAGCAGCGGCAGCCTCCTGTCATCCGGCTCAGCAGCAGGAGGCAGGCAGAGCCAGGGCTTCACTTGGACCGGCTCTGCCAGCCCCACAGAGCTCAGCCCGGCAGTGGGAGATGGAGAGAGCCAGGGCTGCACTCCGCCTCCCGCCACTGGGCTGAGCTCCATGGTGCTGTGGAGCTGCTCGGAGAGCAGTCCTGGCTCTCCCCTGCCTTCCTCCACCAAGCTGCTTCGAAACTCAAAACATTTCGAAATTTTCAAAATGTTTCAAGTGCCCTCATTTTGTTTTGAAGCTGTTTCAAAGTTTTTTGTTTCATTTCGATTTTGCCATTTCAAGCTTGAAATGCACTGAAACAGCTTTGAAATGAAACACATGGCGAAATTTTGCATAGTCCTACTCCACGGTAGATTCTCAAGAGTTTTTTCCAGTCTAGATTTAAATGTAGCAAGCCAAGGGGGCCCCACCCTTCCTCCTGGGAGCCAGTACCACAACCTGACAAATCTCACTTCTGACATTTTCCCCATTATAGTAGAAGGGATAAAGAAGAACAATCCTCCATGACTATCAGGAAAGCAGCCACATTTACCATCCAAGAGGACATGCAGTGCCTGGAAAGAATGACTGGGCAGTCTTAGAAACCAGCTAAGCTCCTTTGGACTCGTGGCCCTTTTCTCCTACCTACAATTTATCCTTGAGTTGGGCAGCACACTATTACATCTGTGCCAGTATATGGCAGCCTTCAAGTGTATCAGCCATTCAGGCACATAGGCTTGTTTAATCTTGTACATCAGGCAGGACTTTCGCTTTCATCGGTTCTACAACAGCAGAAGCCAGCTGGCTGATGCATCTTCTGACTATTCCAAACAAAAAAGAATTGTATAGCTTTCAATAACAATCCTCAGAAAGATCACATATAGTAATCATTGCTCCCCAACCCAGAGCACTCCAGCTAGAATGACACGGGCAACATATTACAAGCTTGTATGCATGCACTTTGAAAATACAACAGACTTGGATCATTCCTACTGCCCACAAACCACTCAGACCCACACCCCACCGGGAACCCAATCCCCCTACTGTCAACATATTTATAAAAACGTTTTCCAAAACTTTCAGCCTGAGACAGACACCTGGCATGAAAAATTTCAGCCTAAACCGTTAAAAAATTGGCAAAGTCATAAGCAATTGATGATGCAGACTTGCAATGGAAAGTGTTGGGCAACCTTAGCAACAGTTGGCAATACCAGCTCTGATGGGAATGGCATTTTCTACACTTTCCATCCTTCAGAGGTCTTATACTGTTTTGCAAGCTGCTATACCCTTGGAATTAGTGCTACATCCTCTGCTAGCCTGGTGCCACCTCTGGGTCACAACCTGGTAAATGTTTAACAAAATACAGCAATACAGTAATGTAACACAAGAAAAGAAGGCTGTCAAATTCAAGTGAAACTTGGAATTCAGCCCCTGAATTTAAAGAGGCAGCATGTAACTTGCTCAGACACTGATTTAATCCCAATGCATCAAGAGAAAATTCTGTAGGATCCTTGACAACCACAAAATGTCAAGATCAAATGTCTCATCTGACAAATGACACCCCTGGAGGCAGTGTACCTTCTACTCCACTACTAGTAGAGGAGTGTTCTAGTACTGACTCAGAAGGAAAAGTGCCACTTAATCACCCAACAACATTCACCAGACCCCTCAATGAGGACAGGCTCATCCAGGGGGTGTGTGCAGAGGTGGGTAGATCCTGCTGCTATGAGCACCCCCAGGGGAGCCATGAAGGGCGTGTGCCCCCCAGATCTGTACGTGTGGCGAGGGTTGGGGGCAGCGCCAGGCTTCTTCCAGTTGGGAGTTTGGGCTGAGCTGTGCTCAGGGCGGGTAGCAGCAGCACTGGGAGGGCGGTTACGGGGTGGGCTGCAGCCACCCCAAAATTTGCCATAGCCCCTGTTGTAGCACTGCCGCTGCCTGCCCCAACTCTCCCCTCCAGGAAGAGCCTGGCGCCGTCTCCAGCCCCAGCCTACGGTGGCAGCCCACCCTCACGGCATGCACAGATGCAGGGGGCACACACCCTCCATGGCTCCCCCGGGGGTGCGTGCAGCAGCGGGAGCAGCCCCCCCATGATCCCCAGATGACTGCGGCTCCATCCTGCATCCCAGCACCACTCATCACAGGGGGCCTCAGTCTGCCCCCCCCACACCCTTTTCCCTTGCCCCTTCCCCCTCCCCCAAGACTTACCAGCTGGACACTGCTCTCCATGAGCAGCCCTCCTAGCCACCTGCGTGCTGTGGTGTGGCTGCACATGCATGCGGCATTTATCGGCAACATTATCAGCCACATCACCAAAAAAAGCGGATTGCTGATAATGTCAATTTTCCTTTTATCAGTGCCAATGCGATATGGACGGATGTATCAGTGCACCTCTACTTGATACATTCACTTAAGTTACAGAATAACAGGCAAAACAGATCAAAAGCATCAAATCTAATGGGAGACTAGGACTAAACCAACTCTGAAAAGGCTTTAAGGCAAAACTCCCAAAAGTACTTCAGAAATGTCAGTCTCATGTTCAAAAATGATTGAGGACACTATGTCTCAATGAAAGTGATAAGAAGCTTTCCAAAAGCTTATCTATAATTTCATTTTCAGCCTAAAATTACTTCTCTCCCATCCAAAATGAGTTTAACAGAACTGAGGTTGGCTCAGCTAAAACTAGAAGCCAGGCAATGTTCTGATGCTTTACATTTCCTCCTATGCTGTCCTATAGGAAGAGCTTTTGTTTTGTTTTTTCAAAAAAGGAATCTGAAGCTCAAGGTAGTCTATGCTGCAAAGCAGAGAGAACCTAAAATAGAAGGGATTTTACAGGGCCTGAACTGTAGATCTACTGCTTTCTGCAGGAACCCAGCGCCAAATCTACCTGTTTAAAATCTGCAGCCTTATATACAGCAAAGACAAACGTAAAACATCGTAGGTTGCCAAGGAAAAGGAAGCAGATATGAACCTGTTATAGAGGCCTGAAAGGGTAAACAGGTGACTGGCTCCAACATGAAAATCCAACTTAAAAGACAAAAAGAAGTCCTTCCTGAAAGTCAGCTAATGCTCCCTAATGCTTCTAATCACATCTCTGATGGTCTCTTAGTTAGAAAAAACACTTTGTTTGGATCCCCATTTGGTTCAGCTTTTGCAACACTCACCTCCCCTGAGTAACTGTACTTTCCTTTCAGGATCTGCCGGTACAAGCGGGTACGGTTGTCATCCTCAAATGGCATAGTCCCACTCAGGAGGATATAAGAGATCACACCCAGTGCCCACATGTCGACAGAATTGGTATACGGTTTCCGGACTAAGATCTCTGGGGCAATGTACTCTGGTGTCCCACATGTAGTCTTCATTAGACAGTCATCTCCTTTCTTCCGGGCACTTGCCAACCCAAAGTCTGTGATCATGATTTTTGAATCTGTTCCAGGATGGTAATACAGCAAATTCTCTGGTTTTAAGTCCCGATGCGTGATGCCCAGTGTATGCAAGTACTTGACTCCATCCAATACCATCTGCAACACACGGGTAGCATCTCTCTCAGTGAAAGAACCTTTGGCAATGATTCGATCAAACAGTTCCCCTCCTGTGGCCAACTCCATCACCATGTAGACCCGATCCTGGGTCTCAAACACCTCAATGAGTTGGATGATATTTGTGTGCCGGACACGTCGCAAGACACTAAGCTCTGACTCACACACTTCCCTCCCTTCCCGGTACTTGGTCTCTATCATCTTGATTGCATAGGGTTGCTTAGTAGCCTTATGTTCCACTCGCACAACACGGCTAAAGCTGCCTCGACCAATCAGGGCTTTGATGTCATACTTGGCCGTCACTCTGGGGTCAAATTTGGCACGGTACTTTGCCACCTTGTTCTTGCGGGTCTCAGGCTGCTCCAAGTGCATAGGCAGGTGGCCACTGGGATAGGGGTTGGTGTGCCGAGGAGGGGAAGGAGAGCCAGCTTTGATAGGAGTCCCGCCATCGTCCTTGATGAAGTGTTTGTACATGTCATTGTTATGAGCAGTATAAGGCTCTACCTTCTTAACCAGATCTAGCTGAACATCCTTGGGGGGCTCGGGAAGCACTTTGCTTGTCCCACAGCCCATCACTGAATGGTGCTAATCAAGGCATTCTCCCGCAGCAACATCAGCAGCGACCTTATCTGCGACAACTTCCACATTCGAACCTTCCAAGAAAGAGAGATAAGAGAAAGATAAAAAGTAGGAATTGTGGTAGTGAAGATCTGTAACATCAAACTAAACACTGTACAAGACACTCAGGACCCCACTGCAGACTAAGGGTGTATCCACGCTAGAAAGAAAAGTGGAGGGCTTTACACTTGCACTTCAGCCAACATATAGCACAATCCTTCTGAGTACAAGATACTATTACTCTGTAGACAATGGGAAACCCCAGAAGAAAGCCTAATGGGAATCAACTAGCACAGTGCTGTCCAACTGGCGGCCCATGGGCTGCATTCAGCCCATGACAGATTACTTGCAGTCATGAGGCTCCTACACAGCCACCTCTTCTGCTGTTGCAGCCAGTCTTCAAGTTCCCCCTCCCTCCTCCAGCTGCTGCTTCCTGCTTCCACCCCAAAGGATGGGACAATGCAGCACACTGCATGGAGAGCTGAGCATTGGTGCAGATCCATGTTTGGTGGGGGGGGAGGGAGGAATGTCTGGTGCTGAGGTGGGGGAGGAGGGGGACACAGCAAAATGTGGTGGGGGTGCCCAATGCAGTGATGGGGAGGGGTTGCCCACCTGGGTGCATGGTGCAGCAGGGGGTTGGGGGAGTGTCTGCATACAGCACAGCCCGGTGGCCTGGCCCATGCCTCATCAGGTGCAGCTCCCAGGGACTTAGAAATCAGATAGCTCTGAATTAGCCCATTCCTCTGGATTATGGGAGCAGTGAACAGTGATCTTTAATGTGAGAGCATCCTCCTTTGTCTGCCTTATGCTTTTGAAGGAAGCCTCAAATATCTCTAATTAAAGGCATTCCACAACCTTCCCTGAAAGCCTATCTAACTGAACTCTTTCTACAGAAATCCCTCACACTGAACTTCACCTTTGGTTTTTCCAGCATTACTTTAAGTCTGCTCTATCCTCATCCATTAACAATAGCTGATATGGACCCAATTTACAACACTGCTCTCCCTGTTTACAAGCAATTCTGTCCCTTTTGTTGTCTCTTCTTCATGCCATGCTAAGCTCCCTTACACAGTTCCAATAGTGCTTCATGCCCAAACCCTTGATCATTTTAGCTGCTCTAGCTGATCGATTTGAACCCATTTTGCTAACTAACACACAAAGACCAGAGTATATTCTAGTCCCCAAGGAATCTGCAAACCCTCTTATTTTTGTATCATCCATTGACTGCACTAGTCTCCAAGGCTAAAACATCAAATAATCCTGGACTTGAAACACACCCCACCAAGAATCCACACGATATCTCCTTCCAGTTGAGCACTGAATGCTTTTCCTGTGCTCCAAGGCTATCCAAAACTGGTTTAAACCTGTAACAGAACAGAAGCTCAGTGTACGTAAGACAGTTTCAAAATGGCCGAAATTAGTTTAAGATAACCTTGGTTCAATGTAGTACCAGACTTAACTGATTCAGGTCAAACCAGTTTATGAACCTTCCGTCCCAGACCCCTTCCCGGTTCAAATTAAATCAGAGTCCCCCAACAATCCCAGCATGCTTTCCAGCCCTGGGCTGGACTCGGCTGTGCTGTCTGCTCCAGAGAGCAGGGCTGGCCCTGCTCCTCTGCTCCCTAGCTGGAGCAGTGAGAGAAGGCTGATAAGGGGGTGGGGGGACAAGCCTGGCTAGGGATGCAGCCCAGTCTGGGGCAGCAAGAAGAGGAAGTGAACACACAGCCAGAGGGCCATACCCTAGTGCCTCCGGGCTTCTGGCCTGAGCCACTGCAAGCATGTGGCTGTATTTCCTAAATCAAAGGTAAATGTCTGTTCACTTCTGTTTCAATTTAATCTATGCAACTTAGACTAACCTGCAAAGACTGAATCAATTCAGCCCCAGGCTTTTTGACTGTCTGTATTTTGCCCAAATGTTTAGATCTTGTGTAACCACTTTAGAGAAAAGAACCTATGAAAAGTTTTCTGCGTTAGGCATATACCATCTTCTCCCATCTCTTATTTTGGAGCCAGGCCTGGAAAGGCTGATAAAGGTTGTGTGTTATGATACCAGTCTTACCTGTATGCACTGGGTACAACATGTTGCAGCACACCATGTGCATCCTCTAAAACTCAGTCCCTTTTATAAAATAATTTTTTTTTAAATAATAAATCCCTTTCCCACATACTGAGCACATGCAAGATCATGGTTCAGCCAGGGATGAGGAAGAGGTGCTGCCCAGAGGTACTTTTTTGACAGGTTAAGTTGGAGGAAGGGAATTATGAATATGCATCTCCTGCAAACATGGTTGGAGGAGGTCCCACAGTAAAACTAAGTTCCACTATACCACCATCCCACATTATCTGTGTAGACTAGGGAAGGCAATCAAACCTTACCATACTGAGCACCAGAAATAGAAAAATCCCTTAAAAAGTTCCCTTGAAAACAAGGGCAAAACAGGTTTGTGCCCTTTTTTGTGACATATCAAGAAAGCCTTAAAAAAAAAAAACTCCAAAAAGCCACCAAAGTACTTCCATTTCTTTTTTTTCCCCTCCTTTCCCCAGAGCAATCAGAAACATCATGTCTTTTCTTCCCTGTTTTCTGGAAAACTCCTTAGCAGGCCTAGAGAAATGGACTGGGTACATTCTTTGCCTTCCAAAGTTTGTAGCAATTTGAGATAAACAGGTGCTTTCAAATTTAAATGACTTGTATGAAAATCAATTCCCTATACAATCTGATTTAATTTTTGTACGCGTAATGATATAATCCTACTAATAGGATAGCTCTTCCACATTCCAGAGAGTCCTACTCATAGAAGTAGATAAAACATAGATTTTTGTTGTAAAAGGTCAAGCAGGAAAAAAACATTCTAACTAACTTTCTTGTTATAAAGAAGCAATACAAGAACATGCAGCCCCATTTCTCCCCTCTGCAAGTCACTTTTAAAGAGGACTTGAAAACACATTGTAAAAGAAAAAGCAAGAATAACAACACCCCAATGTCATAGATTTCATGATTTCATAGACATTAGGCTGGAAGAGACCTCATAAGATCACTGGGTCCAGGCCCTGGCCCAAGGGGCAGAAAGTCAGCTAGGGTCAAAGGATCCCACCAAGATAGGCATCAAAATGTTTCTTGAAAATGTCCAGAGATGCTTGGACACCTCTGGGGGAAGTCTATTCCAGGCCTTGGTGGCTCAGCCAGTGAAGAAGTTTTTTCCTGATGTCCAGCATAAAATGGTCTTGCAGGAGTTTGTGACCATTGGACCTTGTCTTCCCTTGAGGTGCTCGGGAGAACAATCATTCCCCCAGATCCTGATGCATACCCCTTATGTACTTATAGGCTGCCACCAAGTCACCCCATAGCCTACACTTCTCCAGGCTAGAGTCCCATGGCGCTCAGCCTCTCTTTGTAAAGCCTGCTCTCTTGCCCTCTGATCATGTGCATGGCTGTCCTCTGGACTCTCTCAAGCTTCTCCACATCCTTTCTGAATTGTGGAGCCCAAAATTAGATGCAGTACTCCAGCGGCAGCCTCACCAAGGCGGAGTACAGCGGGAGGATGACATCCTGAGATTTACTTGAGAAGCATCTATGGGTGCATGACCCCCACGTCTCTTTCGGCTGTGGTGACAGCAAATGTAGCACTTCTGAGCCTGTAAGTGTGATGAGGGATTTTTTCTCCCCCAAGGTAAAGCACCTTGCATTTCTCTGTACTGAACGCCATCAAGTTTTCATTTGCCAACCTTCCAAGCCTATCAAGGTTTTTGCCTACCAAAATTTCCACAAGGACATCATGGGACACCATGTCAAAGGCTTTTTTAAAGTCCAAATACATTATAACAACCATAAGCTCTCCACAGGTTACCTAGTCACAGAAGGAAATGAGATTGGTCAGGCAAGGCCTGCCCACAACCCATGCTGGCTATCCCTCAGAATGTTACCTTTCTGTTAGCCTGTTGATAATGTTCCCTTTGATATTTTTTTCCAAGATCTTTCCAGGGATTGAGGTCAAACTGATTGGCCTGTAGCTCCCCGGATCTTTTGTCCTTCCTTTCTTGAAGATAGGCACTACATTGGCCCTTTTCCAGTCTTCAGGAACTTCACCCGAGCTTCCCAGGTTCTCAAATATCCTTGCCAGTGGCCGCGCTATATTTGCCAGTTCCTTTAGCACTCTTAGGTACAATCTATCTGGACCAGCTAATTTGTGGGTGTCCAGCTTCTCAAGGTGTTCCCTCACAAGATCTACACCAATGGTGGGCATATATTCACTCACCCTGGTTATCCCGCATCTGGTCAGGCAGGGTGGTCCCTTTGGGCTGGTGAAAGACCAACAAAGAGTAATCATTAAGCAGATTGGCTTTTTCCTGGGTGTCAATTGTCAGCTGCTCCATTTGGTTTAGCAGGGGTCCAATGATGCCCTTGGGTTTTGGGTTTGTTTGGGTTTTTTTTACTTCCCAGGTATCTGAAGGAGGACTTTTTATTGTCTTTGATTCGTGTAGCCAGATGGAATTCAGTTAGTTCAGTTACAGCCTTGGCTTTCCTAGTTCACTCCCTACAGGTGCAGACCAGTACAGAATACTTCTCCTTAGTGGTGTTTCCTGTCTTCCATAGTTTATAAGCTTCTCTTTTTAGATGTAGGAGGTCCATGAGTATGCTGTTGAGCCATAGGGGTTGCTGAGCCCCTTTTACTACCTTTCCTACGGGCTGGAATGGATTTCCCTTGTGCTTTTAGGATCATTTCCTTAAGAAGCAACCACTCATCTTGAACTCCCCTCCCTGTCAAATCATAGACTCTCAGGGTCTCAACAAGTCTCCTGAGCTTATGAAAGTCAGCTTTCCTAAAGTCAAGGACTTCTGCATTGCTGACTGACTTGCCAGCTTTGCGATGGATAATGAAAGTGATCAACTCATGGTCACCATCACCCAGCTTCCCTTCAATTCTTAGGTCACTGACTATATTATCCCTTTTGGCCAGTACCAGGTCCAGCAGTCCTTTACCTCTTGTTGGCCCATAAAGTTCTTGAGGCAAGCAGAGCTCATCCACACATGTGAGGAAGCTTTGTAACTGTAAGATTTGGCTGAGTAGTCTTCCCATGAAATGTCCAAGTAGTTCAAGTCTCCCATGACAACTATGCACCAAGAGCATGCAGCCTCAGCCAGTTCCCTAGCGAATTCATGGTCCAGCTCTTGTTCCTGATTTGGAGGTCTGTAGTAGACTCCTATCATTGTATCCCCTTCACTGTGTTCCCCTCATATTCTAACCCAGAGGGTCTCCAGTCATGCTCCTTGAGTGCCAATCTCTGCTTGTAGGTAAGTGTACTGCTCCTTCACCCCTCCTCCTTTTTTCAGCACAATCTCTCCTGTACAGGGTATAACCATCTATACCCGTGGTCCAGTCATAGGAGTCCCACCAGGTCTCTGTTATCCTTATAAGATTGTAGTCATTTCTGTTTAGAAGGACCAGTTCCTCCTGTTTATTCCCCAAGCTCCTGGCATTTGTATACAGGCAAGTAAGTGTGCTGTTGGAGGCCCTCCCTACACTCATGGAAAATCTCCGTTCCTGGTAGAAATGGGTTCCCTTGAGCAGACTAACCTGCTGATTTTGTGGCTGATGCTTGGTGAATTTGCACTGGTGGTTGTCTGCCCATCCCCCAATGAGTTTAGTTTAAATCCCAGTCAAGCAGGTCAGCAATTCTGGCTGTGAAGAGCTTCTTCCCCAATGGAGTGAGGTGGAGGCCATCCCTTCCCAACAGGCCACCAACTCTCCAAAGTGCACTCTGTGGTTGTAGAAGCCAAAGAATTCACAATGGCACCAGCACCGCAGTCTTCTGGTCACTACTTCAATTCGCTCTTCTTCCTTAGCCTGTGACCCATAACCAGAAGGATTGAGGAAAAAACCACCTGCGCCCCCAGCCCCACACTCCCAGAACCCTGTAGTCATCATAACCCAGCTGGGATTGCTCCGAGCCATGTAATTTGTGCCCACATGAATAAGGAGCATGAGGTAGTGGTCAGAAGGCCAAATAACTTTTAGGATCCTCTCAGCTACATCCTGGATATGGGCGCCTGGGAGGCAGACCTCCTGGGCTAAGGGGTCGGAGCTGCAGATCGCTCCCTCTGTCCCCCTCAGGAGGGAGTCTCCCATAACAACTACTCTGTGATTTTTCTTAGGAAATGGTAGCTGGTCACGTTTCTCTCACTTGCTGGAGCTGGCAGCTCTGCTGGCTCTACTGGTTCTGCAAGGGCTTCGTACCTGTTGCACAGGGGGGCGATGACCCTAGCGCAGTGAGCCTTGGGGCTGGTGACAACTTTGTCCAAACCCCTGGCTGGACAGTATGGGAGCTCCTCTTGTCTACCCTTGTCCTGGCAGGCAACCTAACTCTTCC